CATTTTTGTGGCTTTAAATTTTTAAAGAGTCCTCCTTTATTGTGACTTAATTATATTGTCACTGATAAGTATGAGCCCCACCTCCCAGTCTACAAAGCTTACGCGGCGGGTGGGGCCCGGCCACGCGAACAGCTGAGTGTCTGGTGGGACTGTAATCTCAACTTCTTCGTTATCCCCGACCTAGAAATCAGGAGAGTCTTTATTGCCCACCCCTTTCATATTAGACAGCTAGAAGATCCAACATAAAAGTCAACATAATATACATGTAACAGGCCCCCAGGTTTTGTTTTGTTCAGTAATCCTTACCTCTCTAAACTCTCTTGGCTGCCGTTTTACAGATTCCTGACTTGATTTACTGGCCTATTCCATCACTGGATGTATGTCGCGATCCTATGCACACGTGGGCATAGAGGCGATGGCCCTCGAGGGGTGGCACCCACTCTCCCCCGTCTGCACACCATCAAGCCAGGAGGCTCTGTGCAGCTTGCTTGTACTTCTATCTTGATGCAGGCTTGCCTCCCGTAAGCTGGCCCTTGATACAATTCTAAGAATAGGTACCAGGTTACTCTCTTAGATAATGGCACAAACTCCCCCTCTACTGTACATGTTCAAGCGGTAACGCACGTAATTCCAACTGTTCCAAGGTGGTTGACAACTGGGCTAGATCATGTAATGAATGGTGGAGCAGAAATCTGAAGTTACACAGATCTGTTTTTTTTTTAACCCTCGTCCAAATCACAGGAGTCGCTAATAACCAGCACTGATATCATGTGCTGTGCATAATAAATGAGCCAAAAGATAAAGTCATAATTCAGTGCTCATTTAGCTTCGCTCCAGTGTTTTCCCCTGCTCGTGAAGTCAAAATGCGGAAATGAAGAACGTGGGCCCCCCTCAAACCTTTAACAGATCTGCAGGGCATTGAAGGATTTAAGTTTACCAAGCAAACACACAGCAGTCCAATCCCAGATAATCGAGGAAGCGCAAAAAGCCTCATTCTGCAGCAACAGAGCACTGAATGAGGAACTTCTCTTAAATTAAGGACATGTACACATGTAATGATATACAGTTCAAATCAAAAGCATCAACATGGTTCATTTTGTTCTAGTTTTGGCGGTGGTTTTACCTGTGGTGATAGAATCCTGTAATCCCAATGTATCGTCTGTGACTCACCTTTTTTCAGCCTCGCAGAAGGTTGTTTACAGAGAAATAGTTGAGAACCTCCACTGGAAGTATAGAGAAAGTAACTATGGTCTCTCTGTCCACGGCCGATGCGGTTCGTTAATTATTTCACCATTTTTTCAGAGGCTACGGCGAACAAGGCGGCCCCTCCAGTCTGGACGGACTTTCCTTCTAAATTCACTATGAGGGCAGAATTTATGGTACATGTGGCCTACGGCCATCAGGGCCCCTGTGTGCTATACAAGGGTCCTTGGGCAGTAGAGGCATGACTCAAGTAAACTATTCGTGTACAGATAACTACTTACTTCCTGGTCAACTAGTAGTGTAAATAAATTTCTAAATATTTAGTAATAACTATATAATTTGAAAATAATTGACTACAGTCTTCTCCCCCCAAACCTAATCATATTAGTTACAACCTTCACTTTTGTTTTGCCAACCACGTCCTGATTTGAATCAACACAATCCTGATCACATTCCCTGTATTCTATCATTTGTGTAATTCACTGCACCCGTCATTCGAAGCCAGCCGAATCCTAGACTGAAAATGGAGATACATTCAGCCTGCTGGAAATATTCTCCCACTTAACTTGATTTTAACAAACAACACACTGGATCCTTGGGGGAGGAACACGCAATTATTGCCGTTTTGTGGAAGAGTAGAGAAAAGAATACTACACTACTGTAGCTGTTGGCCACACCGGGAGCTACAGTCAATCAACACTAATCTATACTTTATCCACTTTTGAAAAGAGTAATGAGTAATAAATAAGATTTTTGTGTAACGAACCCAACACTTGTGAAGTTTTTTTGTTTGTTTTGTTTATATTTGTAGAATATTCACATACAATATTTTAAATACTTGAATAATATTGATTAAATATAATCCATTTCTCAGGTAATTAGCAGGACTTATTGAGGGCGACATCAGATCAGCTCTGTTTATTGATATATAATGTCAGATAATTCAACCACAGCTGAAGGAGCTAATATGAGCCAAAGTTTACTTTTTTTAAGTAATAGTAAAGAGTAGATTTATTTTGAAACTGCTGGAGGAGGAAACACTCTCAGTGGTGTTACAGTGCCTCCAGTGGTAAACACACGTAATCATTAATGAAAGTCTCCACTACAGTGTTTTATCTTAATTAATAAAGGCAGTGTGTCTTGATAAATCTTGATAGATTACAACAGAAACTTGTCAGATAGGAAAATGTTTGACATGTGGGTACATTTTATTATTTTACACATGATATGAAAAACTGTTTGAAAATGTAACATTGAAAAGATGTATTTTATTTATTATTCTGAGATTTCATTCAGAGGCAGGTCAAAACAAAATGAATTGAAATTCATTCTAATAGTAACACTGTTAAATGACATTCAGTGATGTGATGAAATAGTGGATGTGTTGTAAAGGAACAAACTG